CACATGCAGGAAATGAAAACATCCTCTGGGATGATTTGACTCCAGTGTCTTCCCCATCCTCTCCTTTGCCCTGTGTGGCCATCAGATAAACATAATTCGGACACACCTCTTAATTATTAGAAAATGGTGTGGCAATTTAACTGTCAGGCAAAATCAACCTCATAGGAATGACTGCAAAGAAGTTTCCACATGGTCGTGAAGTGCTCTATTCATGCCTGGTAATAATAGCTTTACTGAGGAACCCTCCCTTACAAATGTTTTGGAATCTGTATTTTTAATCCCTCCCCTGCCAGTGCTATTAAATGGATTCAGCCCCAGATGGAGCTGCTTCATAAGGGTCTTCAGATTGCACCTGTAGTAGCGGAGGAGTGTGGAGGAGGAGAGAGGAGGATTGTGAGCCAGTTACTCTGTATGTGCCTGGGTTGTTCGGAGAGGTTCAGAACTTTACAAGGAAAGCTTTGATTCTATTTTTTGCTGAACTAGCCCAACCGCTTCCTGTGTTTGCTGCTCATAGTGCCTTGCTTGACTGCCGGTTGCTTTAGTCCTGCAGCCAGTTATAGAGCTTATTTTAGGTCTGCTTACAATGGCCTTCTCTCTCATGTGCTCGGCTAAAACGAGAAAGTGAGCCTGGTGTTGGCCACTTGTTAGCTGATGACAACTTTTACTTTGACTCTGGCTTCTCCCTCCCCCCACCTGAAATCCCTAGCTCAGCAAATATTTGAACCTGCCCAAGTTAATCATGAAGCTGAGATCTTTATCTGAGAGAGACGTGCCAGCGACTGAGTTTTTTTTCCACAGTACAGTACTGAAATTGAGTTCGCTTTTTAATGATGAGCCAGATAGGAATGGATCTCCTCGGACTGCACTGAGATTGCATCTGTTCACAGCAGAGCAGAAGAAGGAGGGCTCGGCTTTTCTGACTACATGTTTCCACCGTTTCCTAGTGGATTTTATGGAACGTTAATTGAAAGCTGTAGAATTCCTCTTCAGGAAAACTTTTCTACCCCTCCCCTCAATTGGTTCAGACAGGATTGGAACCAATTCCCGATCCGGTTAGGGGAGGCCTGGGGGCTTTTTCTGTTTTCTTGGTGGAAAAATAGCTTTGTAGATTTTTCATATTGTTGGATCCAGGAATTTCAGAGGAACACATTTGCAATGCATAACTTACAAAGTAAGTTGTTTCTGATTTGTCTTCCCCCCACCCCACCCCCTTGGATTTCACTCTCCTGAAAAGCATGAGATTGTGTCCTCTAGGATACTGCTGGTACTTAGCGATTTTGCGAGTTGGGGGGAGGTTTAAGTGGTAGAATGGGGGTGGATTAGAGTAGTTTTTGTGGGTGTATGTGGAGGGACAGGAGGGAAAGGCTGTGTTTGGATTGGAAGAGAAGGAAGGAGATAATTACATTGTGCTTGGTTAGAAGTTGTTCCTAAGCCAGGTCCTAGGGAGGCAGTGGAAAATCACCTGTCTCTCTGTCCTCCCTGTACTGGCTTGCCATATGGTATCACAGCAAGCTAGACTGGTTTGGGTTAAGTGCTAACCTGATTGTACAAGTGTAGCTGTCCAGAGTTGGCTAACTGAAAAGTTGTAGAGAAATTGCTTTGAATGTATTGTTTTAATTTTTTCTTTTGGGGGCCAGTATGGTATCTTATTTTTAACTTTAAAGAGGGGAGGGAGCAGTTTACAAGCCTTATATTAAGCAAAAAGATTGTTACTTAGCATAGGCATTCCCAACCCCTCCCTCTTTTGTAGGTGTCTTCATCTTTCTAAGTACCTTTTTACCTTGTACAAATAGAATTGGAGGTGTTATCTCTGGAATGGGGGTGGGGTATACATATATAGTACAAGTACATGCAAGCAGTTCAATGGCTTTGACTGTAGTGTCCATTTAGCACGTGTCCAGATTGGATGAAAATCCTAAGAATAAATTTTGGTGCCATCTGTACTCTTCATATTGTCTTTAAAAAATGCATGATATACAATTTTAAAAAAATAATGCAGGCATTTTTTCAAGGACTCTGCTAACTTGCATAGCTGTGCAAATAAGCACCATTTGTCTTGGGAGAGTTGTGTCTTCTTTCTTTAGAATACATTGAATGTGATAGATCTGATTCATAGTGGGGATTTACATAGGTCTCACAGTAGGGTCAGCTGTGTCATGGGATAATTCAGTGGGGCTGAAATTGATCATAGATGTACACGAAATCTGTGTCTTAACTCTAAATACTGATGAGATGATATGTTGGCCTCCAAAAAGAGACACTGGAGGGATGGTACAATGAGGAAAAAATATGAAGAGATTTTCTACTCTATGAAAGAATTAATAGCAAAGTAACTATAATGATGGAAGTAAGGGTGAGGAATAATTTGTAGCTATACTGTACTTTCTGCATTGTGACGGATAAACCATCTGTGTTTGGAGAGGCATATTAAATTACCCAGTTTTGTTCCATTTTACGGCTTTAGTTCTCATTAAGCATTGATAATTATGTTTACCCTCTCTGTTAATATTCACTTCCATGCCTGTTTCGATTGAGTGGGGGGAGGGATCCATACAATTATGTTTAGCCTTAAAATATTTCAAAGAGGGGAAAGGTTTTCTGTGCAGTCTTATAAAAAATATACCTCTGATGTAGTGGTACATTTTAAGGTCTCTGGGCTTGAAACACTCAAGTAAATTAAATCAGAATAAAATTTGTATATCCTTCAGGATTTAGAGTTTTTGGTTTTAGTATTATTATTATTATTATTATAATTTTACCACTTAAGGGCTATAAACTCTACCTTAAGTGTAGAATTTTGACATCTTCATAAGATTTTGAAACCAAGAAATGACCTGGCTATCTGTAAACCCAGATGCACTAGGGAAAGGGGGGGGAAAAAGAAAAGGAAAAAAAAAAAGCTACGTGCTGCAGCATATCAGCTTTTGTCAACCTGCCAACAGTGGAACGTACCATGCTGCAAGGAGTCATAAAAATGAATTAGAAAACTCCGTGCAAGGAGGGAAGCGTCATATTAAACACCTTTTTGAGTAGATGAGCTTGCATACATTGCGGTCCTGTTAAATGTACAGTCTCCCCGAGATTGAAATAGTGTTAAGATTAGTATAGAACAAAAATGATGAAGCAGGAGGGGTCTGGTGACATTATTCTGACTTGATTGGCTGGAGTGTATGATGTAATAGGTTACAGTGCAGCCCCTTATAGGTTTTAAAATGAATTCCAAGACACCATTACAAAGAGAGCCTGACTCTTTTCTTATAACTGAGCTTAACCAGGGAAACTCTTATACAAATGTACAATACTGTTTGGAATATGGAAGACCTGGATATAGACTGTTCTAAGACAGATATACATTGTGGCACAGACTTGATGTTTTACATAGAAATGGATCCTCCAGGTAATGCTGCAGTGTATGATTGTGTGTGGAGGGCTAGTTCGTGTTAGTTTTTTGACAGCTGCTGTCAGATGTCCTCTTTAGATTTCTAGTCTTGATTGCTTTCTTTCTTTCTTTCTTTCTTTCTTTCTTTCTTTCTTTCTTTCTTTCTTTCTTTCTTTCTTTCTTTCTTTCTTTCTTTCTTTCTTTCTTTCTTTCTTTCTTTCTTTCTTTCTTTCTTTCTTTCTTTCTTTCTTTTTTCCCCATGGATAAAATGAGTTGGAACATAATAGAAATTTAAGAAATTGTTGGTTTTCATGTGAGAAGCCAGGACATTATGATAAATAATTATTATTACTTGAATTGAGGTGAATTGAATTCAGACTTTCTAGTTCTGCCTTTTGCTATTTTTAATTCATTGCTGTTTAGATCATGTTGTTATTGTACGGTGTTTTGTGGTTAAAATGTTTCATCCTTTTTGCTTCTGGTCTTCGGGGTTGGGGGGCAGGAGACAGAATGTGAGAGAAAGCCCTGGTACTTTGCAGTGATAACACATTACCATGTACTTTTAGCAAGCGAATTTAAAATATAACAATTCTTACAACTTAATTCCTGGCCTTGAAGCTATTCTAAGTCAAATACTCAGCTTTACTTGCTCTTGTTCATTTTAAGGTGTTGTAAAAACAGATATGAGTTGGGCTTACATTTTTTATTCTTTAATTTTTATGAAACATTTATCTACACAAAGCTGCAGAATTATTCTTACATAAAACTATTGAAAGAAGCTTTAAAACTTGAAAGTTAAGCCCCCTCCCTTAATTCAGGATTTATTTTGATTTTTTTAAACTCCCTCCCCCCTTTTCTAAATCCTGATTCCAGCTTTGTCCTTCCCCCTCCCTCCTTTCCCCGGCTAGTAATTCAGAAGTGCTGCAGTATCTTCCTTGGCACCCACTAGTGTATGTATGCTGCTTTGACATTGAGAAAGGGGGATGTGGTTTTTAATTAGTCTTGGCATTTGGAACACAATTTATTCAGCAGAATATTACGCTTAACACTAAGGATATTTAGGTCACAGATGGGTTTCTTAAAGTGGTTTTTGGCAGATCAGTGCACAAAATACTAAGGATCAGAGAAACCTAATTCCTCTTCCGAAACATGCTGCTAGCGATGGGCTGTTTTTATTACCATAACAGCATTTGTGAAAGAGAGCAACCAAATTTCTCCTTGATAATTAAATAGGAAGAGGAAATTAAGCCAGACCATTTGATTCCTCATGGTCATATGTTGATGATCTTATAATTGATGGAATGAAACAGACACCAATTTTATTATAAGCAAACTGGAAAATGTATTTTATTTTGAATTTTTGTCACTTGTCCGACTCAGTTTCTTTATTATACTTTGAATTCTTTTGATCCATACTTTGAAATATAGTACTCTGTCTCTTTTAAATAAAAATGCTCAAGATGTTTTCAGGAATTGCCATTTTCAGGGACTCTGTTTCCCGGTTTCATTCTTTGGATATACTGTAATGTCATTTGTCCTAAGAACGATAGCTATAGTTTTTATTCTGGACTTGTACTTGGGAATGAAAATAAACTTTGTTCCCCCTCTCCATCCTTTGCAGCACTGCCTCCTAAGCCACCCAAACCCACTACTGTAACATCTAACAACGGCATGAATAACAATATGTCCTTACAAGATGCTGAGTGGTACTGGGGAGACATCTCAAGGTAAGACAGTAACACAGAGTGATTGTATATGTCCCATTTTTGTTTCACATTATTAAGAACAGGAAAACTACCAGCTTGCCAGGGTCCGTTTTCAAGATAGCTCCCAACATAAACATGAAGCATAGTTGGCTCTGTTCCAAAGATGACCAAAAAAAGTCACTGGGACTTGAGAAGCAATGAGGGCCTGATGCCTTATGAAATTAAATACTTTCAGAGCTTTATTATTGTCTCACATGCCTAGAAGAGCTTAAATTAAAAGGGCAGTGCTTAGAGACAGAGTAAAAAGTCAGACCTTCTGCTTAAGAGCAAAACTTGCAAGATTTAATTCTCTCATTTATACCAAAAATGAACACCAGTTTTGAAAGTCTGTATTGTGATGGAGGAGATGCTTCCTAGCCATGTCGATTGTTCAGAGATGTTGGAATACTTAGAACTTTTTGCCAGGATTACAGCAGTGAGACTATTGAGTACATTTTTATCTTTCATGTCGATGTACTTGCTTTTACAGAGACATTGAAGTGAGAGGGGGGGAAAATTACGGTGTCTAAATAAAACACAGAATAGAGAGATTTAATCTGGAAAGGAAAAAAAAATTACAGTAGTGAAACCAGCACAGCTATGTCACAGAAGTGAGCATTTATTCTTGTTCCTATTCTTTTTACTTCAGGGAAGAAGTAAATGAAAAGCTGCGTGACACAGCAGATGGTACCTTTTTGGTTCGAGATGCATCCACCAAAATGCATGGTGACTATACTCTTACACTTAGGTAAGATTCATGTAGTTGAGATCAGCACTTAGGCTGACTTTAAAACACTTTCCTAAATAGGAAAAAGTTGCACTTTGGAGATTAATAGTGTTTTCACATATTTGATTCACAGGAAAGGAGGAAATAACAAATTAATCAAAATATTTCACCGAGATGGGAAATATGGCTTCTCTGACCCATTGACTTTCAACTCTGTGGTTGAACTGATAAACCACTACCGGAATGAATCTCTAGCTCAGTATAATCCCAAACTGGATGTGAAATTACTTTATCCAGTATCCAAGTACCAGCAGGTAAATGACTCGAGTTAATGGTTAGACTTTAACAAGATATTGTTTTGCAGGTCACTCAGATATTTCAAAATAAAGCAAAAAAAATATTGTTGAAGTGGTACACCAATTTATATTTGTAATCATGCTTAAGATTTTATAATTGAGAATGCCATTTCCTTACAAATAATTAAATGGAATTTTGCGTGTTCCTATATAGTTGTTTTTTTTTTTAAATAAGGTCCAAATTTTCTTAAGTGATGACTATATTAAATTTAGTGTGCAAAATATTGACTCAATTAAAAGTTTTTTCAATCTAAACTTTTTTCTAGGATCAGGTAGTAAAAGAAGATAATATTGAAGCTGTAGGAAAGAAATTACATGAATATAACACTCAATTCCAAGAAAAAAGCAGAGAATATGATAGATTATATGAAGATTATACCCGTACATCTCAGGTAAGTTATTCTAGAGTCAGATTTCAACTTCAGAATTCTTGGTTATTGGATTTTAAGCTGGTCACCAGCTGGCAAGCACTGGCTTTGGGAGTCAGAGGGCATCAATTTGGCTTCCTGCTCAGTCACTCATTAGCTGTGTGATACTGGACAAATTAATCCACCTCTCTGGGCCTCAGTTTTCTTATCTATAAAATGAAGGGTCTGAATTAGATGACACCCAAGGCTTAATGATACTCCTATGATCCTATATGTTTATCTTTTAAAAAAAAAAGAAAAAAGAAAAAAAAAGAGCAACAAAAACCTGAGGAGCAAGTTGTGTGTGTAATGTAATTATTTATAATAATGTATAATCGATATGCCTATGATCTTAGTGATATATTTATCTTTTTAGAAAATGTATTGTTACATATTATACATATATCATAGAAAATATATTATACATATAATATGTATAATGGTTTAAACACATAATAAATATAATTATATAATATATAAAAATCTATATTTGTCCTCTTTTTTTTGTTGTTAGTTTAAGATAAATCTATCACCAGGATCATAGGTATACTACTTAAGCATTGGAAGTCATCTAGTCATCCAAGTCATCTTTGAAGTTACATATTGGGTGAGGGGTGTGTGTGTGGGTGTGTGTATGTATGTATGTATCCCAAAAAGTTCTCTGAGATTGGTTTCATCCAGTTGCCTCTTTGCAAACCTTTGTCTGGGACAGACAGTGGGAGGTGAGGAAAGACATGAATGCCATAAGATACTGATTCACAATGAGATAGCCTTTGAAAAAGATGACAGCTCAAGGAAATGGTATGGGGATCTTCTTTCTTTGCAGCACAGGCATGTGGCGTGTTGATTTTGTTGATTTGGACATTACCCATAAAAACACCTTGCCTGCATTAAGTATTTGACTCCAGCAAAAACTTTGAGTGTTTTCTGTGTTTAGTGAACTGTGTTAGTTGTTGGGTGGGAAATAGATACAAAGTTTAGCTAAGACAAAGTTTGTCATAAAGCCTGCAGTGTTTTTTTTCAGTTGTTTCAGTCATGTCTGACTCTTTGTGGCCCCCATTTGGGATTTACTTGGCAAAGATACCGGAGTGGTCTGCCATTTCCTTCTCCAGCTCATTTGACAGATGAGGAAATTGAGGCAAACAGCGTTTAAGTGACTTGCCCAGGGTCACACAACTAGTAAGAGTCTGAGGCGAGATTTGAACTCAGGTCTTCCTGGTTCCAGGCCCAGCACTCCAGCTTGCAGTATACCGCTCAGATTAATGAAGCCAGTCAATCTTTTTGTCTGTGTTTTGCTACTGAATGGAAATTGTTTCATCTGAAGCATCAAGCCTTATTTAAAAAACTAAAATTTTATTGCAGGAAATCCAAATGAAAAGAACAGCAATTGAAGCATTTAATGAAACAATAAAGATATTTGAAGAACAGTGCCAAACCCAAGAACGGTACAGCAAAGAATACATAGAAAAGTTTAAACGTGAAGGAAATGAAAAAGAAATACAAAGGTCAGTGAGTGACTAAAGGGTTAATATTTCCTTTTGGTGAGAAGTCCCTGAGAGTCCTTCTATTAATCTACAGAAGTCCCAGCCAGCATTCTCTGTGGTGTATAGTTTAGAAGTGGCACGGGGGTACCGAGGACTATGACGTCCTTTATGCAGCTGGGGCAGAGATTGTTATCAACTTTATGGAAGCTTTGTAGGATGACCCCTCTGTCTAACAAGCTGTCTCTTCCCTCCAGGATTATGCATAATTATGAAAAGTTAAAGTCTCGAATCAGTGAAATTGTGGATAGTAGACGAAGGTTGGAGGAAGATTTGAAGAAGCAGGCAGCTGAGTATCGAGAGATTGACAAACGGATGAATAGTATTAAACCAGATCTCATTCAACTGAGGAAGACAAGGGACCAATACTTGATGTAAGAGAATTGAATTGAAAGCTAAGTGAGCTATTTGTAGGTGATATGTTCTATATAATTATACCCTGACCTTGATTTAATAAAATTTTTTTTTTAATTATAGGTGGTTGACTCAAAAAGGTGTCCGACAAAAGAAGTTGAATGAATGGCTGGGCAACGAAAATACAGAAGAGTGAGTATACATTGACAACAGGGATATTGTCACGAAATTTCTTAGCTCTGGGTGGATGCCATACATAGGTATTAGGGCCTAAAGCGGTAACTTTAGAAGGGCATAAAAGCTGAAAAATAAGGGGGCAAATTATTTTCATTTCCCTACTGAACAGAAAGCTCAGATCACTAATTGGTTCTTGAGGGTGGGTTAAATGGCCCTTGGAACACAGATTTAGGATGTAAATAAATAGAGATATGGGATCAGATATTTAGTGCCATAAAGACCTTAGGAATCATCTAGTGCAACCCACTCATTTTACAAAGAAAGAAACTGAGGCCCAGTTTTTTCTGTCAAACACAGATTAAGTGACTTGCCCTATGTCACACATATATTAAATGTCAGGACCCTGATTCCAAATTCAGTGCTTTCTAGATGGTGCAGTAGATAGAGAACTGGGCCTGGGGCTGGGAGTTAAGAAGACTTAAGTTCAGAGGTGGCTTTTGCCACTTTCCTCAGTTATAAAATGGGAATAAACACTTAGCCTCCCAGGGTTGTTGTGAGCATCAAATGAGACATTATTTGTAGCTTATATTTGTGTAGTTCCTTACATTTTTCAAAGCATTTTTGATTTATTTATTTGATGTCTCTTTTTTTGGGGTAGCTGGGAATTAGTTTGGAATAGCTCCAAGATAAGCTAATAAACCCTCCTACATTTATATAGAACCCAACTAGACAGAAAATTTAAGTGACCAGCATTTTCCCCCTCTCTCCTTTAAAATGATTGTGTATACTCATAATGGTGACCATGAAGAAAGTACAAAGATCCGAAAGGACTTTCTGAAATCATTGGAGGAAAAATTATGTTCTGTCTATGTTTAGGGTTGTTTTCATTCTTTGAAAACTGATGACTTGGAGTTCATTAGAATAGTCCATTCCCCAAACATTGTGAACAAACAGTAGTTTATTGTACACGTTTTTCGCTATTGGGAGTGTACATGGAGTTCTTTGGTAGTGAGCACCGATGGTTATCTGGGAGTGTGATGTTCAGTGGGCATCTAAGACAGTAACTGATACCATTTCAGGATCTCTAGCAGTTGACCATTCTAAAATAAGAATAACAAGAATTTCCAGCCATGTCCTTCTGTTGCCCCACAATGTGAGACTGGCCTGATCCTTATGTCTAGGCAAGAAGGGAGACATGGCTAAGGCTAACCTCAGACCAGAGCAAAAGGAAAGTTTTAATCTAAGAAGGTGGGTCACCACTACAATTCTGGATTTGGCATCAAAGCACCTGGGTTCAAGTTGACTCTGCTACCTGTGTGACCTTGGGCAAGTCATTTAAACCCTTTGGGCCTTGGTTTCCTTATCTGTTAAAATAAGAGGTTGGATTAGTGGGACCCATAAGATTCCTTTCCACTTTGCATCTCTGATCCTGTTTTGTGGGTGTGGGAAGGCCATGTATAAATGGTAATGATGGGTGCCCTTCACTAATTAGCAGAGTGGCCAAGAATCTATGCTAATGTGCATCTTCGGTGTAAACAACCCCTTTTGTTTCTGTGCAGCCAATATTCAATGGTGGAAGATGACGAGGATTTGCCGCACCACGATGAGAGGACGTGGAATGTGGGAAGCAGTAACCGGAGCAAGGCAGAAAACCTGCTGCGTGGCAAACGGGATGGTACTTTCCTGGTCCGAGAGAGCAGCAAACAGGGTTGTTTTGCCTGCTCTGTAGTGTATGTATTTCCATTGAATTTTATTTTATTCTAGACCCTTCTCGAGGGCAGTATCCATTCAATCAGTGAAAACTTCTGGAAGCTCTGTGTGTGACAGACTGTATTAGATGTTGCTAGAGAGCAGAGGAATAAAGAAGACACAATTAAAGAATTCCAGCACAGGGCAGTACTACTGTTACTTGATACTCAGTGAGGCCATATTGGGTACTGGTCAGCATAGCCTAGACAGATGAGGTGCATTGATGTTCTGACAAGTCAAGTATGCTATGCATTTCTTTCATTTATACATAAATTTATAAATTGATAAATGCAGATACATATATTTATCTATATATGAAGTTTGATCTGTATTATTAACATTTTTTCCAACCAGATTTAAGTCTAGACAATCAACAAAATAATAAATTAAGCCCTGATTTGCAGTACTGGCCAATTTCTTTCTTTTTCTTTTTTTAAAATAAATTTATTTATTTTTAGTTTTCAGTATTCACTTCCATAAGATTTTGAGTTCCAAATTTTCTCCACATCCCTCCCCTCCCCCATCCCAAGACAGCATGCAGTCTGACATAGGCTCAACATATATATTCATATTAAACCTATTTTCACATCAGTTAAGTTGTAAAGAAGAATTAGAACAAATGGAAGAAACCATGAGAAAAAAGAAACAAAAAAAAGAGAGAGAAAGCAAATAATATGCTTGGATCTACATGCAGACTCCATGGTTCTTTTTCTAGATGTTGATAGCATTTTCCATCATGAGTCTTTTGGAGTTGTCTTAGATCCTTGCATTGCTAAGAAGAGATGAGTCTGTCAGAGTCAGTCATCGCACAATGTGGTGGTTACTGTGTACAACTTTCTCCAGGTTCTCACTTCACTCAGCACATTTTAGTATATTTTGAGGTTATCTTTTCAATAATTTGAGAATAGCCTTGAAAAATAAACTTTGATTTGCTAACAGTACTTCTGAGGTATAGGTTCCCTTAGTAGGGAAGGCTGGTGAAGATGGTGACCAAAAGACCATATTCTGCATAATTAAGAACGTCTTCCCTTATAGGAAATAGGGTTTGACAAGAACTTTGAGCAAGGACTATGAATGTGAGGATAAGGTTTTCCAAGTATTTTTTCATACATCACATTATTTTAGTTTACCACAACCTAGTTAGGTGTTAAGATTATCCCCATTTTATCGCTGAGAAAACTGTAGTTCGTAGAGGTGAAGTGACTTTCTCATGGTTACATAATTCATTAGTTTCAGGTAGAATTTGAACCCAGGTCTTCTTGTCTCTGAGCTCAAAGCCTTATCTACTATGTCACACTGAAGAGTATTTCATAGTAACTTCATAGTATTTCATAGTAATAATAGCTGATGTTTATATAGCTCTTACTATGTGTCAGGCACTGTGCTAAGTGCTTTACAGTTTTATATATATATATATATAAATAAAAATTATATTATTCTGTTATTATATTAGTATCATATATAATTATATTATATTATTATATTATATATGTAAAAATATATATTTGATCCTCACAACAACCCTTGGAGGCAAGTGCTGTTATTATCCCCATTTTACTGATGGGGAAACTGAGGCAAACAGGTTAAGTGACTTGCCGAGGGTCACACAGCTAGTTATGTGTCTGAGGCTGGATTTGAACTCAAGTCTTTCTGACTTCAGGCCTGACATGCTTTGCATTGTACTACCTAGCTATCTTAATATCAGACACTAATAGTTTAGGTACCAAGCCATTTAATAAAGGAGAGGATTTTGGGGGGAGAGGACAGTACATATCATGTCAGAGAAGTCCATAACTTTTTAGCCAGTTTCTTACTCTTTTTTTTTTAATCTCTCCTTTTTTCCCCTCTGTAATTGCAAAGTTCAGTCTTTCGTAAACTCAGAATTCAGAATAACATTCCCCTTTCCTTCTCTCCTTTCTAGGGTGGATGGTGAAGTAAAGCACTGTGTGATAAATAAGACGCCGACGGGGTATGGATTTGCAGAGCCATATAACTTGTACAACTCTCTGAAAGAACTGGTGCTACATTACCAACACACTTCCCTCGTCCAGCACAATGACTCTCTCAATGTCACTCTAGCCTACCCAGTCAACGCCCAGCAGAGGCGATGAAGAGCTCATGCTGTCTCTTTACCTAAAGTTCCACAACGCCGAGGCCTCTGGAAAGCAAAGGGCTCCCCCTCTCAGCCTAACCTGTGATTTTGAGCTGCAGAAACAAAGCTGTCTGTCTTCAGATAGGACTAGAGCTTTCTTCGGGGGGAAAAAAGGATACGGGGGGAGAATACAGCCTTGTGCTGTGACCGTAATGTTTTCCAATCCAGAATGAGGTTTTTTTTGGTTTTGTTTTGTTTTTTTAATTTAAAAAACACGAAGAGGAAAAAAAATGCTAAATCTCTGCCTGCAGGGACATAGAGGCCTTTAACTAACATGGTGCTTGTTTACGCTTTCTGAAGCTTTACCAGCCTGACGTTTGGACTGTGTGGATTGAGGGGCGGGCAGGGCTCAGCAGCCCTGCTGTGAGAATCGATCAGTCCAGCCTGGATTGGATTTTGGCAAGCCACTGTGCTCGGTGGACCCAGACTCACAGCGCTGTGGATTATTTCATTTTTCTGATGAAATGAGTCGATGAACGAATATGTAGCAGAAAGACACTTCCATGTATAAGGGACACTTTAAGAAAACTTTGGTTTCTTGCCTGTTCAGAGGAATTGCTATAGTAGCCAAGTGCCAGGAAGTGTTTTGTTTAGACTTTAAAACAAAACAAAAGAAAAAGAAAAAAGAAAACACCACCACCAACAAAAACCATCCAGTTTGAAGAAATCAAGCTTGGAGAAACAAGACTTTAAATGAAATACAGTATATATATATATGTGTGTATATATATATGTGTGTATATATATATATATATATATATATACACACACACATATATATAAATATATAAAATATGTACATAATATTGGATGACTAACTATCGAATAGATGGCTCCTATCAAAACCAAACAAGTTTCTCTTTTCTTTGTTTTGCTGAAGGCTAAATCCTTAGTGCTATGCAATTCTTCCTTTTCATTAAGCTGTATTTCAGTTTTAAATGTACCTTCAGAATAAGCTCCCCCTCTTCCAGGTTTTGTTGCTTGAAAATGTTGTTTCCCCTGATTTTTTTTTATTAATATTCATTTTGTTATTTTTTTTAAAAAGAAATGTACAGGTTGCCAGTAAAAATTGGCTTCAGAATTAAAACTATGAAGTATTTTACAATTTTCCTTGTACAGAATACTTGGCTATTAGCCCAAGGTTAAAAAGTTCATGACAGATTTTTGGACTAAATGTTTTGTTGGGCAGTGCCTGATAAGCTTCAAAGCTGCTTTATTCAATAAAAAAAATATGAATATTACAAAGTATCATTGAAGTCCAACAATATTGTTTTAAGACTCTCTTAAAAATACGGTACCTGGCAATGTTTATTTGAAAGAACATTGTAAGCTTTCTTGTATTTGGTGGGGTGGGGTGGGGTGGGGTGGACAGGGGAAAGATGGGAGAGAAGGGAAGGGTGGTTTGCACCTTCTTCCCTTAATGATTTCAGAGAACAAATGATGTAATTTGTTTTAGTCTTTTCCAAACCCTTTTGATTTATTACTCATAGCCAATTAAGTGATATTCCAACCGACCACTGTAACCCTAAAACTTCACCCAGCTGGTCAGATATTTCAGTTTTTAGGAAGGAAGTTTCTTAAGTATGGTTTTATGTGATTCATAGAAAAATACCTAAGTTTGTTTGGACACCTATTTATCGTCAACTGAAGGTGAGCCTTTGTGATTTAGAAGAGTATGATTATTGCAAAGTTAGGATTCCCATTTTCTAAAACAATTAGAAGGAAAGGCAGGTTTTAAAAAGCATTTTGACTATGGCGGCACCAGGTATATTCCAGCTGACCATTTTTTCGGGTATAAAAACCAAAGATGTGTCATCATCATCACTCACACTCCATCAGTGGTATGACCATTCCAGAAATCTTGTCGCTGCCCTTTCCTGTTCATCCAGGTAATTGTGTCTTACTTGTAGGAAGGGATAAGAATAGTCTAGTAGAGTTATTCTTCCAATTTTAGGGTAGGCAAAGGTGTATTTTCCTTAGTTTACATATGCAAAATCTATTCTGATTAATAGGATTTGTATATATGCTGAGAGGAATAAATCTTAGTAGATTCTCTGGTCACTGTCCAAACTAATTAACACAAGAGTCTGGAGACATCATTTTAACTTTGGAAGTGCTGTTAAAAGATTGGTTTAATTCATCTACACTTCATTTGCCTTTCCACTTCTGCTTCTGTGAAGATTTTTTTAGTTGCTTTTGGAAACCAGCAATTGACTTCATTTTTTGCGGAATGTTTTATCTTTCTCAAACTGAAACCTTTTGCACATATAAGATGAAAGTTCATTCTTATGTCCAGAATTGTTGATCCAAAAACTTAAATGAATTTTTCTGAGCTGCACAAAACTATTTATCATCTCTCCCTCTCCTCCAGACAGATCAGAATTCATCTGGACTAAATTCTTTAACAATGTTTACTTTATGACCAGTTTTGGGGAGATAGGGTTGGGTAAGGTCTCATATGGCACAGAAGTATAACAATTAGTGCATAGTAGTTAAACTAGCTTTCATTGCAACCTGGATATAGCAAGTGAAATTTCATGTTGTTTCAAGAAATAAGACAGATCAGAGATGAATTACATTCCGTAGGCAAACACACATAAACAAAATTGCTGTTTTTACTTATAAGAATTTTTCTCAATGTGATAACAATATAAATGTTGGTATTCCAAAATTTGCTTTCCTTGTAGCTAACAAGCACATTTGCAGAAGTTTTTATTATCATATTAAATAATGAGGCAGAATTCATAGTAACACATCATAGCAAGTTATGCCATATATAAGGCATTGCAGCTCTGCCAAATGCCTCTGTGTTTGCTGAATAGCATGCCCATCATAGTTGTACTTCCAGACATTTCACCAGCATTCTGTGATGTCCTTTCAGTTAAATCCAACAGTCAGTGCTAACAAAATACAAATTGAAGCTTCCTGTAGACATTAGTTGACAATACATATATTAGAGCTATTTCTGAGAACTGTTTTATCCACCTAATTTTTCCCATTCATGTGAGATCCCTAAAAAGAAAAGCTAAAAACTAAGGTACAAAGATGCTACAGCGGGGGCTGTAGGAATGGAAACATTGGTCCTCATTCTCATTACACCGGAAGGAAGGAGAGAGGTCATAAGTACATGTAAAAACAAAAAAAGCATGTTTTAGAAATCATCTTACAACTTAGACTTGAGACCCATATATATATATATATATATGTGTATATACATATATACACATATATATATATATATATATGAAGTTATATAGATATATATTCACATATGTGCATGGACTGTGTTTTCAGTGCACCTTTCAGCAAAAAACATACACAATCATTTCGTTCATTAAAGCACATAACCATCCAAACTTCTAAGAACAATTTTTTGTGTATGTGTGTGTTTTCTAAAGGTTGTGTTAGTTTTGTTTTACAATGGTGAAAATTGTTCGCAAGTGAAATGAGAAGTACAGTAATTCTCAGGCTTTTTTTTTTTCCCTTTTGAAGAAAAAACTCCTTGCAGGCTGGTCTGGATGACTCGCAACTGAGAAATCCTTGTCCAAGTGTGTAGAGTCAAAATGTGTCATTGTGAGCTGTTGCTGTGGGGAATCAGTGGCTTTGTTTTGTAGCTGGTTATGAGTTATTGTGCTTGGGATGTCCTACTGATGTCCCTCCTTGGGAGGGACTCATTGCTGGTTGTAACAACTGTGCTTTTGTTATGCATGGTATCCAAGTCAGTTAGGAAGTAGACCCTGGTAGCTGTGTAGGTTTGGGGTCATTTAAGAGAGGGGCAGTTCGAAGCACAATGCCTCCCATGGGACAAAGTTCCAAAATGCCAAATTTTTCTCAAGATAAGACCTCCAACTGTTGGGGGTGGGGATGGAGTTGCTGTCCGAGGTGAAGGTGGGGTTAGGGTCAATTGGAAAGAGTATCCACGTTACTGTTACATTTGTCACCATGAGAGAGAGCTTTAGCTGCCCAGGATGCTGCTATTTAATTTTTAAAAAAAAATTAAAATTCATTTTCTTGTTACTTTGTTTAAAAAGCTTTGTTCAATGTTTTTACAAAAAAAATATATTGTTAAAATAAAGTTGGTCTTTGACGAGAGGGAGGATGTGGTGGTCAGCTGTAATTTTGCCTTTACAAGGCGATGGAGGGGGGTGCTGGGGAAGTGTACCTCCTTGAAATTTTGTTCAAGCTCTAGATTTGATGGCTCTGTGTCTTGTTTTAAGTTGCTTTTGACGCATTGTATTAGGTCTTCAAAAAGAATAAAAGTTGTTTTGAAACTTAATTTTGGATTGAGACTGAAGTGATCACTTTTATAAGGAGTTCCCAAAAATAGCTCTTTATACTTTTGGGTAACCTACATGTGGCTGCATTTGTAATAAGTAATGGCATGGGCTGTGGAGATGACCATAGTCAAATTCGTACTGTAGCTACAGAGTTATTTGTTTGCACAGGATTGTGGAAACTGGCTTTGCAGTCAGAGAACCTGAGTTCAAATCCTGCCTTTCAAGCTTACTACCTTGGGCAAGTCACTTAATTTCCTTAGGTCTTAGTTTCCTTCTGCATAAAGATGGAGATCAGTCTAAATGACCTACTAGATTCCTTCCATCTCTAGCTCAATGATTAGATATATCTGTGATTAGCATTTTAGCCCCTGTTCTATGATCCTCTGAGTTCACTCAGTTGTATTCAGTATTTCAAAGATCTGTGGCTTCGCTGGTTAAGAATTCCTCTGCTGGTGCAGATCACCACCTCTTTAATGATGATAAAACCATCTGGCCCCCATAACTTGTTAACAGCCAAAAGCAAAAAAGAAAGAGAAACTTGATACCCCACTCTCCAGTGATGACCTCTGAACTTCACCAGGTGGGTTCTTGGATGAAGCAGAACATGTTACTAGGCTCATGAACGAATTCCACAAGGGGCACCAGAATAAGATTTTAGTGTACTGCCCATATGACCATATTGTCTTTTTGATTCAAGAAACTGGAGCTTACTGAAAATCCTCTTTTGATGTCTTTTAAAGGTGCTGCCATATGTACACAAGTCCCAAATTCATTTGTAAAATCTTTTTCTAGTGATTGATCAGTAACAGAATCTGAGTCAGAAGGGACTTAAGCCATCAAGTCTAATTGGTAATTGAATTACAATCCCCTGACCAACCTATCTGACAAGTCATCACCAGTCTTTGTTTGGAGACCTCAAGTGATAAGGAACCAGCAATTTCCATTCCACATTTTTGATAACTCATATTCTAGGAAGTTTTTCTTTAGCTCAGGCCTAACTGTACCTTTTCAATCCTGTTGGTCCTGGTTCTGTTCTCTCAGATCATATGGAGGGAGTCCAATACCTCACCTCCACCCCCCGAATACCCGTTGGTCACCTATCCCGTCTCCCCCATCCTTACTGAAGGTTTCTCTGGACTTAACCTACAATAGGGTTGAAGGACCTTCCGAAAGAGAAAGTGCTTGGAGGTATTGAGAAGCGATTCTAATCCTCACCTTACACCATCCCCCACCCCCAACCTGTTTCATACTGTGAATTATGAAGAATGATGAAAACCTGGGTTTGTTCCACATGCTCATTTTGTCTCTGGTACTTAGGCTCTAATTCTTGTTCAACCTCAGAATTCCTCCATATATACCAGTCAATGTGTAAGGTACCTTGGGGAACATAGAAAAGATTGATAAAATACTGTCTCCTCTTAAGGGTTTTTACTCCTTTCATGTTTTGAAATACATTAGTCAATAGGTTCAAAGATTTATAGTTGTAAGGAGCAGGATATTTTCACATTTATGTTTAGCTCCTCCCAGTTATATCTGGGTCAGCTATGCAAAAGTTGGAAAGATGTGGGCCAAATGAAAATACAATTAGATATATTTGGAACCAATTGAATAGCCAGACTCAGAGAAATCGTTAATGGTTCAATGTCATCTGGGAAGAAGGTAACTGGGAATCTGTGTTTGGCCCAGTACTATTTAACATTTTTGTGAATTACTTGAATAGAAGCATATAGATGGCCTGGCCATCAATTTGTAGATGTTATAACTTTGAAAGGTATAGCTAAAACATGGTGACATGATTCAAAAAGATCACAATGGGATACAACACCATGTTGAATGTGATAAGATAAATATTTATATTTCGGTTAAAAAAATTCACCATCACAAATATAAATGGGAGGAACTTTTTTAGAAGCTTTTCTGAAAAAGGTGTGGGGGATTTAAGTAAGTGCTTGAGGATGGCTTGAACTCAGGTCTTCCTGACTCCAGGCCCAGCTCTCTATCCATTGCATCACTTAACCTACCTATGATTTAGTGGGGATCATTTTTAGAATTGTCCTGGATTAGATGGCTACTGATTCTAACATCACAGATGCTTGATATTTAGACCCAAGTTAGTGTGCAGTTCTCCTGTGAGCACCATTTTGCAGTATGACTTAAGCCTTTTGACTATTTTAATGTTTCTTGTGGTCTTCTGGAGTCATTAGTTTTTATTTGATCAATTTTAACTTTTAGTGTTTTTCCCCCCTTAGATAAGGTACCTCTTGTTTCAAGCTGTTAATTCTCTTTACAAATCTTTAAAGCTTATTTTAGTTCATTTCTTTTCTCAGTTTTTCCTCTCATTCCTTTCATTTCTCATTTCCTCCTCGTTAGGTTTTTAAAATAATATTTAGCTCTTTTTAAAAATTCTTGCTTCTCTTTCAGGAACTCTAGTTGACCTTGTGCACAAGCTTTATTTTTCTTTGAGGCTCGCTTTGCTTGTTTTTTTTAGCGATTCTCTTCTGGATTTGTGTCTTGAGTGTCCCTCTTGCCATAATAGGTCTTTATGGTGGGACTCTTATTTGGTTCCTCATTCTTCTAGTCTATTTCCTGATTTCAGACTTTGTTCGAGTGGGGTTCTGTGAACTTCTAGAGATCCTATCTGAGCTGAACTTTGGTCTTCTTGAGTCCTTGTGGGTATTGAGTGTTGCCTAATTCCAAGATCCCAGGTACCACTCAGGCTAAATACCTGAAAACTTTTCGTGCTTCCAGAATGATCTGATCCGGGACAAAACTCTGATCACTGCCACCCTGGTCTGAGCTTTGCAAGTTCTTGACCTGGATTTGGGTCTGAGCAATACTCTTGTTGGCCTACCCCTTGTTAGAAGCCCCAGTAGTCTATTGCTGGACTGAACCATTGCTAATGAGCTGGAAAAAATTGCGAGTTCACAGTGACAGAATTCTCTTTGGTCTGAGATTTCAGCCCTTATTATTCTGCTGCAGGCTTCAAACGGTGCTAAAGGTAGACACAGACCTCCTGGGGGTCAGAGCCACACAACTCCATGTTTGCCTCTGAAGTTGTTCCTAACTCGGTAGACAGCCTAAGGCCCAGAACTGCTCCTCACTCTGGAATGCCACTCTTAGGCACAGGTTTCCTCTTTAGACTCTCCTGGAACTAGGGAGTGAACCACAGGGCTGCCTTTTGGCACCTGTAACTGCTTCCTGCACAAGGATGGGGCATCCTCCCACATTGGGTCTGAGACCTCTTCCTTACCCGTTGATCCCTTTTCAATTCCTGGGTACTGCAATGCTCTGTGTACAGCACTCCCTTGGCTGAACCTCATCCCTAGTGTTCACAGGCCTCTCTATCTCCCTATAGTGACTAGGGCTGGGGAAATCATTCTGTATGATTTTTTTAAAAGATTTCCCAATCAGGATCTGACCTAGTGTGTTTCTTTGATATTTGTGGAGGAGTTACATTGAAGAAGCCTGGTTGTACTTCTTGCTCTCTAACTCTCTTGGCTCTGCCCAGTATGATTTGTTTAAATAAAATCTTACTAAGATATAAAAGCTCTTATTTTCAAACCAACTATGACTGTTTTTAACATTTAAGTTGATTTATTAATCAATTTCAGTTGGATTCTGAACTCCAAAAGTCAAAGATCTGGCCCAGAAAGTTGCCAAATCTGCCAAAATGCAGTCACCAGGACTTTGCCTCCTTACAGATGCCAGCTACGTGGCTGTAAGTTAATATGCCATCTGCCCGCTCCCTGGTATTGGTTGAAATGGTGGGAAAAAGAATGTACATGTTAGTTTTGGGCTAGGAAATTTTAAGGAATTTTCCTTGGAGCAGAAACACTGTTACAAGTCAGTATTTCCACTAAAATCCTAAATGACTGTTTCAGTTGGGTAGTAGAAATGCTGCAGTTTGGTTCTCTTGAACACCCACTATGTTCTAGACACTGGGCCAGATGGTGAGAGAAGTACAAAGACACAAGTCCCTATCTGCAAGAAATTTACATTCTCTTGGGGGGAGATGACATAAACTAAATATATGTTATATGTGTGTATAACACACATGTCTATTATATATGCATATGTCTGCATTTATATGTACATATGTACATATATGTATTTATTGGTATTTCATACATACATGTGTGTATATATGCACACATGCATATATACGTGCATGCATATGCACACGTCATGGGCATCTAATGCATAAGTATATATGTCATGTGTATGTGTACACATGCATATCCATACATGTGTGTGTGCATACCACACACATGTAATATACATCTGTGACACAATTAGAATGCAAATGCAAGAGAGAGGTACATGACATATCTGTCTATGACATGTCTGAAGACAAGAAGATCATGGGGTCGTGGACCTAGAGATGGAAGGAATCTTTGAGATAATCTAATCCAACCCCTTAAATTTAAAGATTTGGAAATTGAGACCTGGAGAGGTTGGTACTTGCCCTCAGATTTGCACCCAGATCCTTTGACTTCAAATTCAGCACCAAACTACTGTCCTATGTTTTACTTACTTCTTGGGGGATTGGGGAGGTTCTTGGAGGAGGTGGAGCCCAATCTTTCTTTTGTTTGTTTTTTGTTTTTAAAACTTTGGGTTACAAATTTTCTCCCTTCTTCCCTCCCCACCCACCCTCATTGAAAAGGCAAGCATCTCGATATAGGTTATAGATGTATAGTCATGTAAAATATTTCCATAGTAGTCCTTTTGTGAAAAGCTAAGTATATTTCCCTTCATCCTATCCTGCCCCCCATTTATTCTATTCTGTCTTTTGACCCTGTCCCTCCTGAGAAGTGTTTGCTTTTGATTATCCCCTCCACCAATCTGCCCTCCCCTCTATCAACCCTCTGCTCTCTTGTCCTCTTCCCCCCTTATTTTCCTTTAGGGTGAGATAGATTTTCATACCCCATTGTGTATGTTATTCCCTCCTTAAGCCAAATCCTATGAGGAATAAGATTCACTCATTCCCTCTCACCTTCCC